CTTTTTTTTGAAATGGAGTCTCTCTCTGTCTTGCCCAGGCTGGAGTGTAGTGGCGGAACCTCGGCTCACTGCAGCCTCTGCCTCTCAGGTTCAAGTGATTCTCCTGTCTCAGCCTCCCAAGTAGCTAGGACTACAGGCATGTGCCGCCACACCCTGCTCATTTTGTATTTTTAGTAGAGATGGGGTTTCACCATGTTGGCTAGACTGGTCTCAAACTCCTGACCTCAGGGGATCCACTCGCCTCAGCTTCCCTAAGTGCTGGGATTACAGGCATGAGCCACCACACCAGGCCAAGAGGGGACTTTTCTGATTCATGGTCTGAAACCTTGTGGCAGGCAGGGGTCGAGCTGGCCCAGGAGTGTGAGTGGACCCAGCTCTCTCACGCTCTCTCTCTGGTCGCCTTCTCTCTGCTTCTTTCTCTGTACTGGCTTTCTCCATATTGTGTCAGATATGGTCACAGTCTGTTCTCCAGTTCCACTGAGCAACCCTGAAAGAAAGAGAACTATTACCACGTCAGCCAGTCAGAAAAGCCCCAGCGATTACATTTCACATGGAAACACAGAAAGGCATCTTGCACTTTGTGGTTTCTATTTTACAGTCTCTGACTTGGTTCTTGGTCTGTTTGAGTTGCTGTGACAAAATATCTTAGACTGGGTAATTTATAAACAACAGAAATGTATTGCTCACAATTCTGGAGTCTGAGAAGTCCAGTAACAAGGCACCAGCAGATTTCATATCTTTTACGAGCTCACTCTGTGCTTCAAAGATGGTGCCTTCTCACTGTGTCCTCACATCGTGGAATATGCAGATGAGCCCCCTCAGGCCTCTTTATAAGGGCACTAATCCCATTCACAAGGGCTTCACCCTCATACCTAGTCATCTCCCGAAGTCCCTACCTTTTAATACCATCACATTAGGGGTTGAGGATTTCAACATATGAATTTTGGAGAGACACAAACATTCAGACCATAGCAAACCCCCACCCCCCACCTTAAAAAAAAAAAAAAAAAAGGATAATTTTTCTAGTTCTCTTCTAAAATGTCAAGGGAAATCACCTATGATTTATGTAGGAAGCCAAATCTATTTTATTTAATGAATAAATAGATGGCACTGTATATGAAAAAGTGCTTGTCTTAGCACCATAGGGAATAAAAGAACATGTTAATCAAGCCAAAGTATTGCAAATAAATGATTTTGCTATTGAAACTGAAAATGGATCTCAATTAGTTAATTTGATTTTCCCCCTGCTGCATTAAGAGATTTTATTTCTCTTCCTCTCTAACCCTACCTGTTTCTAGCTCTATGCCACCCCACCCTGTACCACAATTTGAATACATTTTTTTCCAAAACATGCAAAGCCTTTTACATTGCAAATAATTTTCATAACTTGCCTGCCAAAATAGGATTAATCTCTTTGCCTCCTTTGTCCATAAAATAATCCCCACATATAAAATTATATTCTTCTCGGCTGTTTTCATTGTAGCCAACAATCAAAGTTAAAAGCTATCACTATCCCCAGGAAATGAACAGTGCTCAGATTGGTGAAAGAGAGACCTCCTGATGTTGAATTTTATGTAAGACAAGAAATGGAAACTCTGCAGTAACTTCAGAGCCAGTAGCCAGGTGCCTGGAAGATGTTTTAAGCAACACTTCCCAATGGTTTGGGTCATGGTCTCTGTTTTTTTGTTGTTGTTTTTTTTTTTTTTGAGACAGAGTCTTGCTCTGTCACCAGACTGGAATGCAGTGGTGCGATCTTGGCTCACTGCAACCTCTGCCTCCCGGGTTCAAGTGATTCTCCTGCATCAGCCTCCTGAGTAGCTGGGACTACACGCATGTGCCACCATACCCGGCTAATTTTGTATTTTCAGTAGAGATGGGGTTTCACCATGTTGGCCAGGGTGGTCTCTATCTCCTGATCTTGTGATATGCCCGCCTCGGCCTCCCAAAGTACTGGGATTACAGGCGTGAGCCACCGCGCCCAGCCTCTTATGGGACCTCTACGGAGTTTACAGGAAATGCATAAATGTTGAAATCATTATAGAAATGTAGAGATAAAAGATAACTTATGGGTCATTTTACTTTCATGATACCACAAATTGCTGTGTTTTTCTAGCAGTCTTTTATTTTTATATCTTAGCCCAAAAACTTACTGTTTAAACCATTAGCTATTTTTTATAAGCACTGTTTACATGACCTGTAGATGATTACTTAAAAACTTTAAATAATTAAACCAAGTTAAAAAAGAATGGAAACTTCAAGTCTCAGAGTCTTTTTATTTTTCTTTTCAAAAAATAAGGTGATACAATTGAAAAAATAGCAGATACTGAAAGGTACAACTATTATATAATTGGCGATCTCTCTGTTGCCTAATTTTAATTGACAAATAATAATTGCACATATTTATGAGGTAATATTCAATAAACATATATACCATGGAATGAACAAATCAGAGTAATCAACATATTCATCACCACAAATATTTATCCTTTTTGTGGCAAGAACATTTAAAATCCTCTCTTTTAGTTACTTTGAAATATGTAATACATTATTATTAACAATAGTCACCTTGCTGTCCAGTAGAACCCTAGGGCTTATTCCTCCTAGCTAACTGACTTTGTACCCATTGACCAATATCTTTCTTTTCCCACCCGCTATCCCAGCCTCTGGTAACTGTTACTCTACTCTCTACTTCAACTTTTTTGTATTCCACATATGAGTGTAATTCTATGGTAAATACCTCTCTGCCTAGCTTATTTAACTAAACATAATGTCCTCTAGGCTCATCCATGTTATTGCAAACGACAGAATTTCTTGTTCTATAAAGGCTGAATAGTGTTCCATTATGTATATACACCACATAATTTTTTCAAAAAATCAACCTCTACTGTTATTTCAGAATTCAGAAGGTTGTTTTATTTAATCATGTTCAAATATAGCTAGTATCAGCTTGGGCCATTTCCATTCCTTCAGTGTAAATTAAATCACTTTATATTCCAGGCCCTATGCTTGTTATTCTTTTCTGTTTCATAATACTTATCGTATTTTTAGTCATATGTTTATTTGTGTAATTGCCTGTGTAACTTCTTTCCCTTCCACTGGGTTGTGAGTTCCAGTGCAGAAAGAAGCACATCTATTTTATTTGTATTTCCCTAATGCTTAGTACTATATCCAGTATATAGTAAGTGTTCAATAAATGTTGAATGAATGAATGAATGAGTGAAAAAATAAGTGAAATAAAAGGGCTAGTTTAAGCCATTCAGCTCCATCCTGTTCAGGGTAAATTCAAAGCATATGAGCAAATCCTTGTGTTGAAATGGATGGCCATTTGCTGCCTCTTGTTTGGCATTATAAAAAAAGAAAAAAAAAGAAAACAGAAGTGGATGTCTTCAGTAATGGGAATTGGGTTCCCAAGGGTCTGGTGCTAGGGCAAGAGAAGGGCATTGATGAGGCCTACTCAAGATAGTCTGGGAACAGATAATCCCAATGATTAAATCCAAGTTAAAAATCTATTAAAGAAAGGATGAGAGCACCAAAAAAAGGATGGAGGCCAGGTATGGTGGCTCACGCCTGTAATCCCAGCACTTTGGGAGGCCAAGGCGGGTGGGTCACCTGAGGTCAGGAGTTCAAGACCAGCCTGGCCAACATGGTGAAACCCTGTCTCTACTAAAAATACAAAAATTAGCCAGGTGTGGTGGCACATGCCTGTAATCTCAGCTACTGGGGGTCTGAGGCAAGAGAATCACTTGAACCCAGGAGGAGGTTGCAGTGAGCCAAGATTGTGCCACTGCACTCCAGCCTAGATGACAGAATGAGACTCTGTCTCCAAAAAAAAAAAAAAAAAAAAGGACGGAGCGGGGGAGGACACAAGGGCAAAACCACATCCAAAAGGCGCAAATACAGAGTCAAGAGGTAATGTTAAGTGGACGTAAGGTCCTAGTGAAAGCGGATCAGGAACAAAAATACATTGAATTTAGAGATATTGGCAAGCTTGGTGACTGGCCTGAAAATTGGTATCATTAGGCATCTGGATCTAACCTCATCTAAAGTGTCTTTGCAAACCTTATCTGGTACTAATTTTGTGGAGTTCATGCAGTTTTATTATGCCCTCATTCTTCTTGCTCATGTCCAAAGAAAAAGCACTCAATAACACACATTAAATTCTTTATTTTAAAGGAATAGTGTAATATTCAAGAAAAAATAATTTGGCTTCTTCCTTGAGTTGACACGTGAGATGTCTCACACTCAGTTACAGATAGTTTTTCGTCCCTTTAGTCACCAGATCTTTATTTATACTTACTAAGCAATGCGCCTTTCTCAAAAAAGAGTCTTCCTAAGTAGTAGGTCTGACCTTTTGACAAGTTAATAAAAAAGTACAAGGGTATTGAGAATTCCAAAGATGCATGACGCCTCTGGGGTCACTGATGTTTGCAAATGGCACCCATTGGCAAGGCCAGTATGGTGAGGTAAATAACCCACTGTTGATACAGAGAATAGGACTACCCCGGTGTCTTCTATTGCACCATCAGAAATCAAATCAGCAATAGAATTCTTGACTTGTCAGTCTCCTCAGTGCTCCATTTAATTTCTATGTAAAATATCAAGTTATTTTTAAATCTTCTTTTGGGTTATTACATTTCTATTCTATTCTGCATCCACCTCTCTATTTTCTTAAATGAATGCTTATGAAACGTTAGTTATTGCTGACATTCTCCAACTTGGTATTCCGAGCCTGCTTTCAAAGTTTATCACATGCACCTTGTTCTCTACTTATAATCAATTATTCTGTCAAAGTTAATAATCTAACTACAATTTTTTCAGAGCTGTGCTTCTATTTTATATGCATATATTTATCATAGCAGTGCCTTTTGAATTTTGATAAGAAGCTTAATCCAATAAGCTTTGAGAGACCTTATTGAATTTATGCTAGAGTTACTTTTTAGAAAGTCTGTGACTGTAAATGATATTTTGTCCTAAAATGTTTATTTTTTATTTTAATATAGTCTGTCTATGGTTTACAAAATGATATTAGAAGTCACAGTCCTACCCACACTCCCACACCAGAAACTAAACCTCCAACAGAAGATGAGTTACAACAACAGGTGAGTCAACCTATGAGATGACCTGTTAAAGGTTTACAGAGTAACAGCTATGAAAACCGAGAGTAAATGTTAATAGTGGGTATTTTTAAAGGTTATCTGTATGATTGCCTGTTTCATATGGAAGATTTGCAGTTAAAAGATAATAAAATTTTCTAATTTTAAGTATTGTAATTACTTGAAAATGTATCAATATATGGTAACGATTTTCAAAACCCCTCACTCTTTATTTACCCAAATCCTTGTTACTCTAACCAGTTGTAAAAATCACCTATGCTGATTTGTAGTTGACTCCATCATCAATAGTTACTTTGTACCCCAAAGCTCTGTTTTAAAGAGTAAGAGGACAGGAGGTTGAGAACATTGTCACACTTCCCATATCCAATGATAGGACATTTTCTTCACAAGAGTGCTTATTCTTCCTTTCCGCAGTGGCGATTTCTCTCTACCTCTTGAAGTTTTTTCTTATCAACACTGGTGTACAGTCATGGAGTCATGCTAATACTATCCAAGTAATATTATAATAATATCCAAGTAATAGTTCAAAGCAAACTCCAGTATTTCAAATCAAATAATAGTTAAATTTCTTGATTGGTTCAGTCATGGGGCTTTATTCTCATTTTGACTCTTTTCCCTTAATATTTTATTATAATACGGTTTATCAAGAGTGTAATATATACTTTTCTAGTAGATTTATAATAATCAGGAAGGAAAAGTCATTCAGAGAGTTTTTAATTAAAGTTTTCTGTGCGTGATTATCCCATGTGAGCGTTTGTCATGAATTGCTGATAAAAATTATTCTCAAAACACATATCATTGATGCTTTCTTGGTATTAGGAGATAGGATTTATTTTGAAATTATAGTAATAAATAATTTTCTAAATTTGGAGGGAAGTGTGATTCTGGATTTAGGTATTCACCATGAATGAATGTTTAAAATCTCTACAATTTTATTTTTTATTTTTTTGAAACAGAGTCTTGCTCTGTCACCCAGACTGTAGTGCAGTGGTGTGATCTCAGCTCACTGCAACCTCTGCTTCAAAGTCCCAAGTGATCCTCCTGCCTCAGCCCCCAGAGTAGCTGGGACTATAGTACCTGCACCACTACACCTGGCTAATGTTTGTATATATTTTTACAGACAGGGTCTCACTATGTTGGCCAGTCTGGTCTCGAATTCCTGGGCTCAAGTGATGCGCCCACCTCGACCTCCCAAAGTGCTAGGATTACAGGCGTGAGCCACTGCACCCAGCAAAATCTCTACAATTTTAAAATAAAATTGCATTTCATTAAAGTAGGCAGAATGGTCAAACTCATTGCTGTTCTAAAGTGATATCAGTTGTGTTCACATTCCAACATTTCATTTTGTCAACTCTTTAGAAGCCCTCTGCTTTTATTTTTTTAACCAACTTTGAAATTGTACTGACATAGAATATACTCTTGTTCAGAATTGCCCAGTCGATCATGATTTAGAGTGGAAAATTGTGAAAATGTCATTACTTATGTAACTCCTTCTCTAATCCTCCTTTCAGATAAAATATTGGCAAATACAGTTAGATAGACATCGGTTAAAAATGTCAAAAGTCGCTGACAGGTGAGTATTTCAAAGTGTCTACATAAATTTTAAAATTTCTTATGACAATTAAATGTGTTTAAAAATGAAAGACAGCTGTTGGGACAGATAATTAAAATCCTATAAGTAATGTGATTTTGTTTTCCTTTTTGCACATAGAAAAATTTTCAAATAACTCTTTTGACGTAGTTTAAATGACAGAATGATTATAATTGTCTTAAATGCCTAGACGTCCAGTCCTTGTTCAACTAAGAATCAGATATAGCGGATAATTCTGCAGAGTCTAGCCTTTTCACTCCTGCCGGAACACATGAAACTTTCCGTTTATTGATTACCTTTTGGCAACTTGGAGCTTCTCTATAAACTTACTTTAACAGTAACAATTGACACTGTTCCTGCCTGACTTCGGAATATGAATGAAACTCAAATTTTAGATATTTTCCCTTTCTTCATTTAAATCTGTTCTTAATGCCATTCATATTCTTCACTTTTGGGCATTGCCAACTCCTGCCTCTCCAACTTCTTTCCCTTCTCCCTTTTTAAATTTTGTATATACATTTAAAAAACTTGTCAGTGGCTCCCATTTTACTTAATTCCTGTGAATACTTTCGACAGAATTTCCCTTTTAAGCCCTTCTCTAAGTTAGCTAAAATCTGTTCTGCTGTGGGTGGACTGATTAACCAAAGATCGGAACTGACTCTTCGCGGTGCCCTTCACACACTGACCTCTTCCATAGTGCTTCATGTTAAACAAGGGATATTGATTTATACAGCTGAGGCATGAGGAGAGATGGAATCTTTAGCCACAGTTTTCTGCCAAAAAGCACAATAAGTTGTTGCATGAAAGTTATTGAAACATGAAGATTGCCATTGGATTTCATTCTTTAAGTGAGCAAGAATTCCTTGGTCCCACATTTTTATATTGTTTTCCTTGCTTTGGACTGGCTGTAACCCCAGTCAGAAAACTAAAGAAAGTGGAAATGTTTTTTCTCCCTAGTCTACTAGGTTACACGGAACAGTATTTAGAATACGACCCGTTTCTCTTGCCACCTGATCCTTCTAACCCATGGCTGTCCGATGACACCACTTTCTGGGAGCTTGAAGCAAGGTAGGTGGCATTTTGTCTTTCTCACAAATATGTTGCTGTATTTCAGGGTCTGAGTGAAATGGGAAGGAATTTATTGTTGGCTAATTGTGAATGTAATTTTGTTCTTTGTCTCCATTGGCTCATATCTAACATTCTTGTTTGAGATAATGGCTTTTGAACCTTAGACATTCAGGTTTGCATTAAGATTTGCATTGCTGGAAAGACCAACCCAAAATTAGAGGTGCAATTATTCAGAGTTAGGATCTTCAGTTCTTGAAATTTAGCTCATTGCTATTATTTTCCTGGAAAACCCACGTAGTGACAAAGGCTCATGTATTCAAGTAAAATGAATGCTAAAGCCATGCATACTTAAGCCCAACACAAGTATTTCTTTATAAATTGAATTTTAAAACAAAATGGTCTTACCATAAACACTGTAAGAGAAACTGGCAAGACACTTACTTCCTAAGAAAAGCAAAGCACCACTTAGGACTCCCTGGTTTCCTTCATGAGCTATATGGGGAAAGAATTACATCATCAGTCTCAACAGAGTCATAAAAAGATCATGGCATATCACTTAACAAAGAAAAGATTGGTACTCTGTCATATTTCTAGCAGTTCTCTAGATTGCATTTCTGGACTATCTCTTTCTTTTGCATCCAGACATGAATCTTAAACACTGGACATGCCCAGAAGTCTTCATCCACAAATTAAAGATTTTACAGATGAGAAAGCTGGAACCCTAAAATATTGTGACTCAGCTAGGATTAGGTCACAGATTTAATTGACACCCGAGTCATAAGCTAGTATTGAGATCTTTTGGTTACCAATGCATTTTCCCCAGTTCACTATACCTGCATGACACTGTGTGCCATAGTGGTTAAGAAATGTGTGCCTGGTGTGGTGGCTCACACCTGTAATCCCAGCACTTTGAGAGGCTGAGGTGGGTGGATCACCTGAAATCAGGAGTTCGAGACCAGCCTGGCCCAAGTGGTGAAACCCCATCTCTACTAAAAGTATAAAAAGTAGTGGGTCATGGTGGCAGGCGCCTGTAATCCCAGCTACTCGGGAGGCTGAGGCAGGAGACTCTCTTGAGCCCAGGAGGCGGAGGTTGCAGTGAGCCAAGATCGCACCATTGTACTCTAGCCTGGTTGACAAGAGCGAAACTCTGTCTCAGAAAAAAGAAAGAAAAGAAGTGTGGCATTGAGGTCAGAACATCTGGATCTTTGCCCCTTATTACTTGCCTGACATTGGCAAGTGATAACTCTATGCCTCAATTTCCTCATCTGTAAATAATAAGATTAATAGTGCCTATCTCATAAAGTGGCTGGCAGAAACTAAAAGAGACCATTTTTGTAAAGTCCTTAGCACATAATGCTCAATAAATGGTAGACTTTATTATTAATACTAATGTACATGATGATTTCACGCAGAGCCGTTAATCAGAGGTATATTTTTTTGAAACAAAAGGTAAAGATGGGAACTTCGAGGCACACATGATTTTAAAGGGGAATGTAATAACAAAAAAAATGGAATTCTGATGAAAGGAATGTGTTTGCCTTTGTTTTATCTTCTATAGCAAAGAACCGAGCCAGCAGAGGGTAAAACGATGGGGTTTCGGCATGGACGAGGCATTGAAAGACCCAGTTGGGAGAGAACAGTTCCTTAAATTTCTAGAGTCAGAATTCAGCTCGGAAAATTTAAGGTAAGACACATTGCTTGGATCTTATAAGCCAGAGAAATACTGTCTGTGATGTATCTGGTTATTCTGGAGGTAATAGATCCTCCACTAACATCATAATGATGTTATGAACCCACTGAATTTCTGCCACCTAATGAAGGGAAAAAAGATAGCAAGGCAAAGGCTGTCCCACGTATCAATTTCTTATAACTTATTTTTACACCGTCTCTGTGCCTCCAGATGTTTTAACTATACAAATTTGGTGACTTTGAAATGGACTCTGTAAAGAAATGCAGTACAGAGAGCAATGTTTGGCAAAGTGGAGATTGGCCAATAACATTTATGAAGTTCAATAAAAATATCATCTATTTGTCAATGTTGACTATCTTTGCGTATCACTTCTCAAGCAAATTAGAGAAGAAGAGACTGGGCAGCTATATCAAATAACTTGAAACCAAACTACTGGGCTGTCTCATTCTCTTTGCCTGTTTAAATAATAGCCACAGGGCAACTGAGAGCAGCACAGCATTGAGCTGTTCATGAGACAGCAACACCCGTTCTGCCCATCTGTTGTAAACATCGTCTTTATATATTTTTAAAATTTGCTAACATAAGGAGGATCCGAAAATTGCATTTTTAAATATAAGACATTAGAGTGGATTTTAATAGCTCTATTTAACATCTTTGAAGGGAGTGATAACTTTCCACTATATAAGACTGTTTTTTCATTAGCTTTTTCATTCATTATTCTTTTGAAACCTGATGCCCAATTTTTACTTTTCCATGACTTACGCAGTCCTGCAAAATTCATTTGCTGAAAGTTCTCTGCATTCATTTATTTTCATTGGAACAAAGGAGTGCCAGGCATGGCCACATTCTTTTCAGGAGATTTAACAGGAATCCCAAACCATTCAGAAAGATGTAGGACGCTGACACATGTCACATGGAGGAAGCAAAATGACCACAGGCAGAACCTGGAGGAGTGTAACTCTCTATGTGTGCCTAGCATGGATTGCTGGCATGCAGCTTCCTATTCTCCTTCCAGTTTATGGGAATCCTTCATGCTTGGGCTTTTGCAAGATCCTGCTGCTAAAGTTGCTAAAGTTCTGTATTGACCCTACGAATAACGTTTTCTATATTGAGGTCACATTGTCAATGATTGAGTGCAAGAATTCATTAAAAGGCTAGGCGCGGGGCTCAGGCCTGTAATCCCACCACTTTGGGAGCCGAGGCAGGTAGATCTCTTGAGGCCAGGAATTTGAGACCAGCCTGGCCAACATGGCAAACTCCATCTCTACAAAAAATTAAAATTAAAATTAACTGGGCATGACGGCACATGCCTGTAGTGCCAGCTGCTGGGGAGGCTGAGGAATGAGAATCACTTAAACCCAGGAGGTGGAGGTTGCAGTGAGCCAAGATTGCACCACTGCACTCCAGCCTGGGCAACAGAGCAAGACTCTGTCTAAAAAAGAAAAAAAAAAAAAAGAATGCATTAAAAATAAAGCAGAGATAAAGAATACTTGAGGCATTTTAGTGGCTGGGGAGATGGATGTTCCTCTCATTCTCTAAGTTTTTGAAAACATGCTGGTATTATTTGTATCACGATGAGTAAATAAACAAGTAATAAACCTTACCAGCCTTGCCTAGCCAAATAAAAACATCTCCTTCTCTCATTAAAATTACAGTCTATTGGTAGATACAGACGAGAAAACAAATCACAGCACAAAATCCTGGGTGTTTAGTTGGGAGAAGCACAGAGGGATGCCCAGCCCAGAGTTAGAGACCAGCAAAGGGATACTAGGGGAAATTGCTTCTAGGCTAAGAGCTGGACAATGGGGAGGAGATAAACCATCAAAACAGGAAGAGAGAAGATGCTTTTGGAAAAAGAGCATGTGGATACTCAGTTTCAGGCATGAATGGATTTACTGCCAATTTCTTAGTTCAAGCTTTAATCATTTCTTATCTTAATCATTCTATGCCGTACTAGACTCTAGGCTAAGTAATTATATTTAAGAAATATTAGATTATCTTATATATATGCACATATTATATATATACATATATATATTTCTTGAGTATCTATTATATGCCTATCATAGTAAGTATAGAACAGTAGATAAATGAAAGATGTAGATTAGATTAATTATTGAATACCTACAAGACACCAGAATATATTTACATCTACTACTTTTATAATACGCTATGTTATATTTTGCATTCATTATTTCTGATCATCACACATCTAACCACCAAAACCAACATAAAGTGTAAATATTGCCTCATTTTATAGATGAGAAAAGCATGACTGAGGAAGCTTAAGCCGAGAAAGTATGGCTAAGGAGGTCAGATTCATGTAAGTGGCATTCTTGGCTTCCTGCAAACCAGTACCAAGCTACTGTCCACTGCTCCACAAATCTGAGCCCTACTCTGCTTCCACTGACATATCTGTGTCACACACTGAAGGAGACAAAACGGTCCAGTGGTCAACAGGGCTGTGAATTGCACTTAAAATAAAATAACCCTCCATGCATCTTAACCAAACAGCTGGCCTCCTGCTATCAGTGAGAGTGTGTCACTCACCTGAGCTTTTTTTTTTCCAAATATTAGGACAGGAGAAAAATAAGAAGCACTGTTTCTCAATAACTACTTATGCTTCAAATACAGCCTCTGCTCTCCCTAATAGAGAGAAGAAACTTGAAATTTTATGATGTATTTCCCTCATTCTTTTTTTCGAGCAAAACACAGCATGAGCAAGTGCCAAGAAAATGTAGTAATATCATGAGTTTTTATCTTTGAGTGACTAAAAATATGCCAGGTACTTTTCAGCACCTTCTATATAATTTATATCATTAGTATAGATTAATGGAATTAATTTAATCAACTAATCCAATGGAAACCAATTAATCCAGTGGAAACCCGGTGAAATAAGCATTATCATCCCATTTTACTGATGAGGAAATCAAGAATCAAAGACATTAAAAATACTTAGGTTCCAGCTACCAGGAAATAAAGGATATAGGATTTTTTTTTTTTTTTTTTTTTTTTAAGAGAGATGGGATTTTTCTCTGACACCCAGGCTGCAGTTCAGAGGCACTGTCATAGCTCACAGCAGGCTTGAACTCCTGGGCTCAAGTGATCCTCCCACCTCAGCCTCCTGAGTAGCTGGGACCACAGGTGCACGCCATTGCACCCGGCTCCTCCATGCTATTAAGCTATTACAATAATTACAGTAATGGTGAGACTAAGAAAGGCAACGATGCTGTTAGAAAGACCATGTGAGGGAGTGCTTGTGGGCATGTCATCTGCTGCAGATTTTCTGGGGGCAAACCTCAGCCATGACACTGATAGTGAGCAACCTTAAATAAGCAACTTCATCTTCATGTGCTCAGTTTCCTCTTCTCTAAAATGAGGGGAATAATAGAACTTGCTTTATAGAGTTACTGTGGGAATTAAGTGAGTTAATATGTGAATCACTTAGAGCAGTGCCTGCACCTACATGTTGGTGTAGGTGTGGTTATTAACTTCTCAACCCTTTTATATTTTATGCTTATTTCCAGGCCCATTTCAGATGTCACTGGATTTAGAATAGCTTTTTCTAGATCCCCCTTTTCCAATCCAGCACTTGCCCCAGCAGAGGGACTCTTTCCTGCTTGCCATTCCCAGACTATCTAGTTCATTCTCTTCCTGGAGAGCCATTCATGTACTTCCTGGTGTTACGGCCATTTAAATGGTTTATCTTTTCCTCTGCTGGAATGAACTTGACTGAGCATATGTTAATTTCAAACTCCTGCTCCCTCGGATTACGCATAGTATTCCTTTTTTTTTTTTTTTTTTTTTTTGAGACGGAGTTTTGCTCTTGTTGCCCAGGCTGGAGTGCAGTGGTGCGATCTTGGCTCACTGCAACCTCCGCCTCCCAGGTTCAAGTGATTCTCATGCCTCAGCCTCCCGAGTAGCTGGGATTACAGGCGTTCACCACCATGCCCAGCTACTTTTTCTATTATTAGTAGAGACGGGGTTTCACCATGTTGGCCAGGCTGATCTCAAATGCCCAACCTCAGATGATCTGCCCGCCTCGACCTCCCAAAGTGCTGGGATTACAGACGTGAACCACCACGCCCAGCCTTGCATAGTATTCCTATTAGAGTGCACAGTGTCTAAATCTGTGTTTTAAGAGGGAATGGTCTTGAGCCTTCCTTTCTAAAAGTCATGGTGGTAGTTTCCTGTTTGAGGTGTTGTCAAAGTTAGATTATCCTCTGTTATATATATCTATTAAAAAACAAAATCTGGAAATGAAAACTCAAAAATCACTAGCCTGAGTAGTAGTTGATATTCTAATTCTAGCTCATGCACTTCATTACTGATTTCTGATTATTCATTAATGGTCAAGTTAAAGCTTAGTAGTTACGAAGGTCCTGCTGATCACCTCTGTTAAGACTGTGGCCATCTTTGCCTTTCTTGACTGCATCTGCTATTAGAGCAGTAAGAGTGTTTACGGCAGCAACTTTTTCACATAGAGTGTTTGTTTCTATTAACAAATTATGATATAGTCATTTATCTTTTAAACATTATTTGTGGAGATCTAACCAGCAAGCTCTAACCTAGAGCACAATATTGAAGAAATGCAACCAATTAATACAATGTGGCCCCTTCTCACTAGACTTTACCACTTGCTATTATCAACCAAAACACACTCCTAGGTTCCTTCAGTATATATATACTATAAATATAGTCTATATTCAGAAGTAAGTCCATATATATTCTTCTGTGGCTTCTGAATTGCAATGATGCCTCTACACATTTAAACTTTTCAAGTAATTCCATGTGAAAGCTTGCTGCTTCGGTCATTCCATAACTCTCTCAATTAAATTAGCTTAGCATTAGTTAATTGTTTTTATTTTTCCAGCCAGGGCATTTTCTGATCTTATGTCCAGGCCTCTTTTAACTCCAGCAAAGCTTCTTTGTAATTCCCTCACAAGCTAGAACAGAAAAGACTCTCCATACTAGCCCCCATTGCTCAAATGGACAGAAGATCCAAAGAACACAGTGCATGGCTTTGTCTCCCAATTGGAGGCTCCATGTCCTCCACCTTTAATTCCCTTCAAACTCCTCTTCGTTTTCAATAAACAGTTAGCAGTGCTACTTTCCTTAGGTAAAATGAATGTTATACAGGGCTCTGACAGATCTGCTTTTAACAACAAACACTTAAAAGAGATTGTTTTTCATAATTCCTTCCAAAGAAGATTATACCTTTGAACATAGTCAGTACCACCCTGATACCGGAAGCCCTCAGAGAAAGTGAGTTGGCTGTGAGTCATCATGGTGAACTGCATGATCCGTAAATATCACAGGGATTTTCAGCTGATGGGCCGTCAGAGTAAACACCTGGTCTCACATTTTGCGTAGATTCTGGCTGGCAGTGGAGGACCTGAAAAAGAGGCCTATTAAAGAAGTGCCCTCAAGAGTTCAGGAAATATGGCAAGAGTTTCTGGCTCCTGGAGCCCCCAGTGCCATTAACTTGGATTCCAAGAGTTATGACAAAACCACACAGAACGTGAAGGAACCTGGACGATACACATTTGAAGATGCTCAGGTGGGTGTACGGTGGGCCTCACGTCACAAATGTGCTTCTGAGAAGGTGATCGTTGGGTATATTCATTTTATTTTCATTATAAATGGCAGCTATTTCTAACATTTTCTATTTAGATAACTGTAAAACAACTCTAACTGATCTAGGAAGGAACAAAGACACATTAAACTGAATAGTTTTTTAAAACCTGGGAATATTTTCTAAGTTTGAATATTTTTATATGAAGGGACATATTTGAAATATTTTAAAACTTTTACTTCATTTTCTACTCTGTTCCCCCAATAAGTGAGCAAACACTATCTAGTGATGGCCCCCATCTCAATAAAAGATTTTTTAAAACATTTTTTTAAAACGATTTAAAATCTTTAAGGCATCTTCAATGTAGAGATTCCAAGACTCTGACATTCCTGAATTATTCATTATTATAAATTATTCAAACTGAATTAGCTTAAAGTTATGTCAAACTCAAACCAGTTTTATCTCTGGTGAAAAAAAAATCAAATATTAGATTCTGACATTTCTTAAATTTTCAAGTTAACTTTTTAGCCTACAGAAAGAAAAAATAAAGAAAACTGATTCTAATTTCCTAAGACAAATTGTTAGTCATCTTTTCTCAAACTGGATCTTAATTCCCTTTGTAAAAACAACTTGAATTTCTGCCTTCTCTCAAAAAATATTGATACTCTAGAAGAAAAATCAACTTCTTATGAGGGGATAGTGTTTGCTGATAATGTGGTATTTTATTTTATTTTATTTTATTTTATTTTATTTTATTTTTGGAAACAAGGTCTCTTTCTGTTCCCTATAGTGGCATGATCATGGCTCACTATAGCCTTGGCCTCCCAGGTTTAAGCAATCCTCCTACCTCAGCCTCCCAAGTAGCTGAGACCACAGGCATGCACCACCATGACTGGCTAATTAAAAAAAAAAAATTTTTTTTTGTAGAGACAGGGTGGGTCTCCCTATGTTGCCCAGGCTGGTCTCCGACTCCTGGGCTCAAGCAGTCCTCCCACCTTAGCCTCTCAAATTGCTGGGATTACAGGCATGAGCCACTGTACCCACTCCCTAATGATGTGTTGAAGTTGGTTTTTAAATCAGAACGTGCATACTCCATAATTTCTTAAACTTCTTTTGGAGAAGAATATTAATTATAAAAAGTACCTTTTAAAACACATACATTACTAAAATAAAATATAGAAGACAAAGAATGAGATACACGAATATCCTTCCTTATTTCCATGCTCTATAGAAAATACATTTCTCCTTGGCTTTCATTTAAAGAAATCAGCAACTGTGTAGAAAACTAACATGAATTTTAACAGCTAACTGGATACCTATCCCATGTGGTTCAGTCATGGTCTCCGATGTAGAAATAATTACACTCTAGAGACACACATGACAGAGAGCAGACCAGAAATTCTGGCCCCACTGCTCACTTCTCTGCTGATCTTTCTTTCTTTCAGTCCGAGATAAAATGTCAAGCATCTTTCTAGAGGCAACAATGTGTAAAATGTTTGGAATGCCCTTCCTGAGGTTTAAAAAAGAACTTATTTTGGTTATCGGTGTCACTTAAAAATATTCTTGCCTAAGAGGATTCTCTTTTCTTATAGAAAAAAAGAAATTTCTATAGAAAATATTACCACTTGGCCCTAGATTTATTTTTCAGTTAAGCTCAGATATTTAATTCTAGTTTTTCTGTGGTTTTTAAAAAATCCTATCGTTAGCTAAATTGCCTAGGTTCTGATTTCAGCTCTGCTCTGTGACCACTTCTCCATGCCTCCGTTTCTTCACCTGTAAAATGGACATAATGGTTACCAAGCCCATAGGGGTTTTGTAAGGCTTACACTAACTAATACAGGAAAGCACTTAAAAGAGTACCTGCCATATACCCAAGTATATTTGAGCACTTACTATCCACACCCCATGCTTCGCAACACATTTATTATTCCTTTAATCATCACAACAATGCTATTTTATAGATTAGAACATTAAGGATCAGAGAGATGAAAAAATTGGCCTAAATTTACCCTATTTGTAAGAGGTAGTTCTTGAGCAAGGTAGAATCTGAATTTCAAAATGCTTCATTCCAAAACCAGCCATTGCTCTACTTTTCAAACAAATTCCCATACAGTTCCAAACTTAACGTTCTGTGAAGATCACCCTTGGGCGAGGTCTGGAGACTTAATCTTGAATGTCTTTAAATGGATTTAAAGTAACTTCAAATTATTGCTGTTATGTTTAACACCAGAGAACTGGAGTCATTTCTTGAAATGTGTATTTTCTTCAAGACAAAGAAAGAAAGAAAGAAAGAAAATTTGGACATTCAGAATACTCTCCAATAGTTCCAAACTCTACACCTAACTGGTATTTCACTAGAATAGGAAGATCAAGACACATGTTAGCTCCCTGAGCTGCAGTAGACCAGAGTAGAATCTCCCTAGATTGGGTCAAGATTGAGTTGAATGAGTACCTTTTTCCCTTTTTTTGACTTCTTTGTCTACCAAAATTCATCATCAAAACAGAATATTGCAAACTTCTTCGGGATGAATGATCAAATATTTACCTAATCTGTCACTGAGTAAGTAATAAGAAAGAGCATACAAATTTGGAGACTTAGCAATTAAATATCACAAAATTTATTTTTGGGCTTGTGCTCTGACCCAAGGTGGGTGTGGAAGACAATTTTCCATGCAATTTGTACCAAAGAGATGATCTGATTCATCTGGGCAGTTGGCACCCTTCCAGTAAATGTAGAGGCCAAAAGTATCCAGGATGATTACTCAGTCTGAGTTAACATTACTCACTTCAGGCCTGGAGTAATTTTAAGAGACAGCAAATTTAGTTATATTCTCTAGTGATCTATATAAGCCAACAACTTGATCTGAGGTTATTTTCTGACATTTTATTAATCAAATTCCATTTTTTTTAATGACTGGATGTGATTTGCCTCCTCAGTAGCTCCTAAACCAATTTAAACAATGATCCCATGAATGAGATATTGAATTTGAAGATCTAAATGTCCTGTAAATAGAAGGTATTCTATTCTATTAGAAGGTATTCTAATCAGCATTGTTATTACTATTTTTAGCTGCTACTAGATTTGTTCTTTAGCCATGTGTGGCATCATAATATTTTACTTTTCCCAAGAAATAATAAAGAAGCACCTCAACCATTATTTCTTTTTAGGAGCACATTTACAAACTGATGAAAAGTGATTCATACCCACGTTTTATAAGATCCAGTGCCTATCAGGAGCTTCTACAGGCAAAGAAAAAGGTATTGGTTTTTTCGTGAGTTGTTTTTTCTTGACCTAGTTCTCAGTTATAATTATCTGGAGTAATTACCTCTGCTGAATCCAGGGTATTGGACTAATGGTAAGTGAACATACTCCAAGACCCTCCCCCAAACCTTTGCATTTTATAAGGGCCATTTAAGTTGTTTCTGTTTGTTTATTGCTTATTGTATTACTTTCTGTTTGTTTGTTTCTGCAGATGTTCATGCTTTGCAAAATTTATTAGAAGCTGTTTTCATGTTTCATGTTAGTCTTCTGTATGCCTAGTTTCAAGGAATCAAAATTACAATAAAGAAAAAAAGTAACAAAGTCATTAGGTCAAAAACTTCAAGAGGGGTTTCTTTGCTCAGTAAGCTAGAATGTATGTTTTGAACCACAGGCCTTGTAACTGAAAGTAGACTCACTTTTTTCAATAATAGGTGACAAAAGGTAGGAATGTTTGCTTCTGAATATTTTCATTTGGCATTTATCCTGAATCACTTAATATCCCTGTGATGAATTTTATACACCTAGCATGGTCGCCAAGCACATTATGGGAGCATTGTAGTAGACCTCATTATTCAACAATGTTAATAATCAATGTCTCTCTGTTCGTAACTCCTTACGCAATCGATATAACAGGGAAGAGAAAACCTGGACATAAACATCAACACCATTCATTATTTTTAATGTTAAAATAGTTCACAGCTTCTTGAAATTCTGAGTTTAAATTATAATTTTGTGTAGTTCATGATCATCATATAGGCTAATAAGATTTTTTTAAGTCCATTGCCTTTACAACTGGAAATGGATACTTCGTAGTAACACTATCCAGTACAGCAGTCACTAGCCACTTGGGACTGTTTAAATCTTAATTAAAATTATATAACGTTCTAGCCAAATTTCAAATGCTCAATAACCACAGCTACAGACTTCTGTATTGGACAGCATAGAATGCGATTTCCATCCTTTTGGAAAGTTCTATTAGACATTAATGCTCTATAGAATTAATGATGTTGTCAACAGAAATTTTTTCTGATAAAAGTTTTGAGGAAATTCTGAGGATATGCTGCTAGATTTTTAAATATTTAGGCTCTGCACATGTCAATATAAAGCCTTCACATATCTACTTCATTTCGGCTTAATTTGATTTTGCTTGAATCACACCATTTTGTTTGTACAAGAAAAGTTTTTGGTGTTAGCACTAATGAAAGCAGAGCCCATGTCCTATGAGAAGAAGCCTCCCTCGGCGGCTCTCCTACCTCTATGGGCCTTCTGATTTAGAACATGGATTTGGCGTTGCATCATTTCATTATCCTGTCTTTTTCTGCTCTGTTTTCCTTGCTTTTTTTTTTTTTTTTAATCTTCCTTTATTTCCCTTCACCCTATCCTACCCCACATACGTAAGTCTGGAAACTCAATGGATCGCAGAACATCTTTTGAAAAATTTGCACAGAATGTGGTAAGTTTTATTTTTTGAGGAATTATGAATCATTAAGTCCAATGAAATTTTTCCAATTTTCCTATTTCTAGACCTGTTGCCCACCTTGCATTCTTGATGTAACAGCAAAAGTGTTTCTTTTATTCAAATTCAGAACTTCATGTTTTCTGCTTATCTTTCTGTCCCACCCCTTTCCAGAGTAGAAAAAGATGTTACATGTGAATAAGTATCTGTACAGAACTAAAGTTTGAAAAGAGGTTTATATTGCGATATATAAAAGGAAGGAATAATAATTATTCTTTATATTTTTATTTTTATTCCTCATATTCCTTTCTTTATTAAAGATAGTGCATGTATTTCTATGCTCCTTCCCTTAGCCCTTCCCGAGGCTTAAAATATTAAGAACAATGAAGGTTCTATGCTTTTTACTTCTGCAGAGAGAAAATGATCTATTAAGCAGTTTAAAGCTAAAGATTTTATATGAGTGGTGGCTGGTGACAAGATATACCCCACCAAAGACCCACTAGCCTGCCTTTCTTACTCGTTATTTTTCAGGAAGGTATTGAAAACTGTTGCATAAATCACCTGAGAAACCAGTAGTTTTCCTACCAGTGTTTTCTTAGTATCTTGCCATGTGTTTTGATGATATATATTTGTTTGTAAGATTCTTTTTTTTGTATTGTGCCAGTGCCTTTGGAACTTTCTGACATTGTGTAAGCTCAAACTAAAGCCTTCAACACATTTATTTTTATAGGGCAGAAACATCCCTATTTTCCCATGCCATAAAAACTGTACACCAACACTGAGGGCCAGCACTAACCTGTTATGAAAAGAGGTAGAAAAATCTTGGTTTATACTCAAGTTTGTCTGCATTGTCTGTTGAGTTGTGTGGTTAAGCTCCATGCTGCTGTGTGTGTGTGTTGTGGCTTTTGCTGTGATGGCCAGTTCAGTGGAGTTATGTGTGTTGAAATGTGAGCAAACTGGATTCAACAAAGATATGGCTTTTGTTTTCAGTTTCCTTCAAGGATCCTTGTGGTGGGGAATGTTATTCACTTCTACTTGTGAATTACCATTGCAACGGTACACAGAGTATTTGAAAGAATTTGAACAGTAATATATACTGTGAACATTCAATGTGATTGCATGAGTTAAATGGATAGAGAATGATGGACTCCAGGAATGAATCACATTGTAAATAAACTTTATGAAATTTTGGCTGGCACTATTGGAACCTCTGTTCTTTAATAGAGAATTTTCTGGAGCATGCTTCGTAAGTCACCATGGGGCAACAAAGATAATGTCAAAAAATTCTCCAAGATCTTGCTGGAGAAAGTGACTATCAGATAATAAGGTACTCTGTGTACTGTTTAAGAAGCATTTCAAGTTAATCCTTTTCAAATGTAATACTGACAGTATATACTATTCTTGAAATTATAATGGAAATTTATGTGATATAATTTAAAACAGTGATGCAACCCAGGGAAGATGGAAAGGGGAAGTCAAATGGTTGTGTTTCTTCCAACATCATATCTAACCCACTTCTCAAACTCTTAAAATAGCACCATATGGTCACACACTGCAAACTTTAAGAAAGGGCCAACAGGAAATAAGGGGAAGAGAGAACTGATCATCCACACCTTCAACCAAAATTCGCACAAATGCCACCTCTGTTCCAAACTGTGTGCTATGTCTTGGGACCATGTAGAAAGTATCAACTTACAGCCATGTCCAACCCTTTGAATGCAAGGACTTTTTTGCTTATCTGTGGTGGCGGATATTATAAAAATTATGCCTGGAACTTTTTTTTTTGAGATTATTTGTCGTTAGTGTTTAGTGTTTTTTATGTGTGGCCCAAGATAATTCTTCTTGCAATGTGGCCTAGAGAAGCCAAAAGGTTGGACATCCTTGGTACAGCTTGATTTCAAAGGTACTCAATGGTATAGACAAAATGTTAGGATATACAAGGGAAAAATAAACAATTTCTACTGGGTGTTAGGTTGAGGACGGAGGGCCCATATGTAATCTGAGAATTCCCAGAAGTTACATTTAGCTGAATTTGGAGGATTTCACTGGACCAAGAAGAGCAACTACTTTCTTTTAAAAAAGTGGAAAAAAAACGAATTACTGAAGGAAAAGAAGTTGAGTACCATCCATACACACACACACACACACACACACACACAGACACACACACACACAAACCATAATAATAACTTTCAGGCACTGTTGCTTAGTGTTAATCCTTTTCCATCCAGGAAAATAAAATGCAATCTTTTTTATGTAATACTTTTATTTGGGTGTTATTCTGAAGAAATGGAGTAAGCAATTGGAAAGGTTCTCTGAATTTCCCCTTGGTTTAGTGTTCCATATTTACAACTTAAGGGTCAGTAGCTGTATCAGGCATCTTAGATCTTTACATACTAAATTTTATGAGACAGTTTTATAGGATCAATAAAATAATTTAACGCAAGACAAAGAATGAGTGTTTTTATTATAATCAGATAGACTTAATGGAGTAAAGACAGAATTTACGTAAATATTTTAAAGGAATCCTCTACGCAGGGTGCTCTGGTGCATACAGGGAGGCTACAAGGTCAACAGTATCTCAGAAAGAAATGGAATAGGTGAAAATAGTAAACAAGTGTGTAGTCTAGGAAACTAATGGGGAAAAACTCACATTAATTGAGTATCTGCCATGTACCAGGCTCTGCACTGGGCGCTTCATAATATTATCTAATTTAATCCATGTGCTGACTCTGTAAGGTAGGTATTATTACATTCATTATTTTACCCATCTTGTAGGTAAGAAATTTAAAGGGTCAAAGGAGGTGCATCGTTTGCCCAGAGTCACATAGTCAGCGAAGGAGCTGGGACTGACTCCAAATGTATTTTGTTCCCTAATGCTGTTTCCATGGATCCACCCTGCTCTTTGACATTCTCCCAACTGACAAAAAATAAATAAATCTTGCCACCTGATGATACCCTCCTCCCCAGTCTGAGTCCATTTCCAATGCGTGTCTATTTTAGTAAGTTGATTTACATGTTCCAGCCTGGGGTTTTTATAACCGAGGTTAGAAAAATGGCATTGTTGTTTTTGTTTCACCCCAGAGACAAAAATATTTTGCTAGCCAGCTGTTCCAGGGGAGTTTTTGTTAGTTACCCAGACTCATAAACACTTACTAGCACTTTAGAGAAAAATTATAATAAACAGCTGAGGATTGCATTGCACTTTCAATCTTCCAAAAAATATAGACTCCTTTTTGTTTGTTTTGTTGTTGTTTTGGTCATTGTTTACATGCACAACAATCCTGGGAGGTGTCAGGCAGGTGCCACCTTTTTTCACAGACAAAAAACTGGGGGCATTGTGAGGTGAGGTCACCCTCGCCAGTATCTCTCAGCTGTTGAGTGTTAGAGCCGGAACTGGAAGCAAGCTTCTTCTTTTACTTTAAATTCATTACTCTTTTTAGATTTTTCTTATTATTTTCATCAATCCCAAAATGGGTAGGATAAAAATAACTCCCATTTGTGTAATGCCCGCATTGTGGTTTGTTGTCTCAGGAGAGCTCCTTTTCACTTCTTGGTGTTTACTCTTTTATTTCTTTATTTTTCTTGCTATCAGAGAAGTCTCTTAAGGTTGGTCTTTCAAGGGTTACTATATCCTCTCTTACCTTTAAATGTTATTCTTAGTAAGTTGACTTTATTCTCTTTCAAAAAAGTTCATATGCTTTAAGAATTATGAAAATTATTTTCTTCATCACCATCATCAAATCTGACACCACTTTTCAGCCATTAAAATATCACAGTATCTGCTGGGCATGGTAGCTCATGCCTGTAATCCCAGCACTTTGAGAGGCCAAGGCGGGTGGATCACCTGAGGTCAGGAGTTCGAGACCAGCCTGGCCAACATGGTGAAACCCTGTCTCTACTAAAAATACAAAAATTAGCCAGGCATGGTGGTGCACGCCTGTAATCCCAGCTACTTGGGATACTGAGGAAGGAAAATCACTTGAACCCAGGAGGCAGAGGTTGCAGTGAGCAGAGATCATGCCATTGCACTCCAACCTGGGTGACAAAAGCGAAACTCTGTCTCAAAAAAATAAGAAAAAATAACATGATAGGATAAGATAAACTATAGCATCTGCCTGCTACACAAACATTAAAGAGGAACAGATAGAAAACAAAGGAAAAGCAGGGTAGGATGACTGATGAGCCACATCCTCAATCAAGATTCATAATCAAGTGCCAGCTGTGTGACTCACCTCCTGTCTTGTCTTTGTGTGAAGTAGAAATTAAACCAGTCTGGCTCTGGGCTACAGAAGTAGAAAAGTAAAAACGAATTTTAGAGAGTATTGATGTTGAACACCCAGGGATTCACCTAATCTAATCTCCTTTTGGAAATATTTTCACCCTATCTTAATGAAGACAATTATCTGTAGAGGCTTTAAAAGAATCAATAGAAAAAAGATGATGCCTCCTTGGCTGTCCCATTCCCTCTGTTCTGGTATATTTGTGCTGGGGCTTTGAGCTCCTAACTGTGCCCTGGAGACTGCAAGGAATGACCAGAAGTTGTAGAGACTCCATGAGAGAAATTTAACAGGACTGGGTTGGCTCTGAAATCAGTTGATCTTTAGGATCAAATCTGTTTTTTGTTGTTGTTGTCATTGTTGTTGTTTTGTTGTTGTCGTTGAGACACAATTTCACTCTGTCACCCAGGCTGCAGTGCAGTGGTGCAATCTTGGCTCACTGCAACCTCTGCCTTCGTGGTTCAAACAATTCTCCTGCCTCAACCTCCTGAGTAGCTGGGACTACAGGTGCCCACCAACACACCTGGCTAATTTTTTGTATTTTAGTAGAAATGGGGTTTCACCATGTTGACCAGGCTGGTCTCGGACTCCTGACCTCAAGTGATCTGCCCACCTCGGCCTCCCAAACTACTGGGATTACAGGTGTGAGCCACTGTGCCCAGCCCAAATCTGTTTTTAACTCTGCAACTCAATTGTTTAAATGTTGATAGGAGCAAATGTAAATGTAAATCCTCTTATTTGAAATATAGAACAAAGAAGATACAATACTTAGTTCTTTTAGAATGTTCTTTTGATTAAATAAAATTAAATGATTTTTCTAAGCCCAGTGTGGAATCACTGGTTAATACAGCCTTATACAGATTATATATAAGTGGTAACATTGTAAAAAGAGCCTGGGCCAAGGAATTTGATGTGTTTCTATTTAGGTTTGAAACCTAGTCCTATATATTCTAGCCATGTGAATTTTAAAAGATCATTTAAGGCCGGGCGCAGTGGCTCATGCCTGTAATCTCAGCACTTTGGGAGGATGGCTCTAGGCCAAGAGTTCAAGACCAACCTGCGCAACATGGCAAGACCCTGTCTCTACAAAAATAATAATAATTATAATAACAATAAAAGAAAAAATCATTTAAACTGCTGAACCTCAGTTTCTTCACCTCTAGACAACTCTCTCTACTGAGACACAGCTCCAGTTAGCATTTTGCACAAATAAATATAAATATTTAAGAATTCGAATTGTATTTAAATATTCTTTTGAAACATTCTTTATTCACTTAAAATGCATTGTAAATGTCTTCCAAATAATTGAGTATTCTTCTACCTGATTCTAATAAACCACGCAAAATTCCTTCGAATGGATATGCCCTGTAATTTTTCTAATCATCTATGAATGGACATTTAGGTTGTTATTTATTTATTTATTCGTTGCTTTTATAGGTCAAAGTATGATAAAATCCAAGTTATATATTGATTTTCTTTTCATAAAAAAATTGAACTGCTTAAATGGATTGTAAATTTACAAGGGAAGAGG